TAAAATATAAGATAGTGCAGAGATTCGTGTAATCTTATAGGGTATATAGACCACAGAAAACAAAGGTTTGAACAATAAGTCAATGATATGTTCAGTAATAAGAACAATATGAACAAGGTTGTTTTTATATATGTAATTTTGCAGGAGCTTATTTTTCTTCTACCAGTCTTACTTCTAGGGCCTAATGGTAATGATTATGGTAAAGCACTGAGTAGCATTCTTCTTCTCAGCTCTTAGCAGTGGAAAGTTTGAGTAATAATAACCTGAGAATGTACAGGTTATTGCTCATCTTACAAAATAGTAGCAAGAAGACACATTTCTACAGTCATATAAAAGTATGCCATGTCTGTGTTGGCATTAATTTTCAAAGTAGACTGAATTAGTATTGAAATGTCTTCAGAGATTAGAAGACATACACCTTGGAGAGTACAATAGACATTTTATTCAATTTATTTCAGTGCCATAGCAACAATTCATGAAACTCTAAACCTTCTATGACAGCCAAGAAAGCCATCCTTAGAGCAAACTACGCTGAAGAAAATTCATCTGTTCTATGCTAAAAATGGTGAGAATCTAATGAGACTGTATCTGCTGATCAACAACCTATTTCTACCGTTATTTAGGCACCATATGGCATAGCATTCACAATCATTTTAACGTTTGCATTACCAAAGTGAAGCCAGCTTAACTTCAATTCTCATTAAAGGAAAAAGAAAACTCCCAAATCTGCCCACAGAAGGTAAATAAATATTGAAAGAAGAAATCTTTGCACCATTACCGCTGTTTGTGCTCCCCTACCAATGTATATTTTTCAAACACAGCAGGTAAAGAAAAAATTGGGGCATCAGGATCAGTGCCATAAAGTTTTGTTTATCCTGGAGTAGCTAAGCATAGTAAAAAATATTGAAATTAATTTTTGGATAATGCATCCACAATTGTTCTCACACATGGACCATTGATGTCCATAGAGGAAACATAATTGAATTGCTTTATTTCACACAAAAATTACACTATAGAAGCAGATCTTCATTTTTAACATCTTTGAAATTTCAAGAAGCAAAAGAGCTAAGCAGTTTTGACATCTGCTATTTAAAATCTTTGCTGATGTGAAAAAGAAAGCAGATTATTTAAAAGCTATAACTAAAATTTACTGCACATTGGAAGATATGATACACTTGAATGTAGCCACCCTTTGAAGAAATGAGTTATGTAACAGATGGCTCCCATCCGGAAAGATTTTTCTGTTTATAGTGCTGCAGGTGGTAGAATAGGACATGTAAAGAGGGGTAGAAAGGTTACAGCTATATAATTCTCTCAACAGTAGGCTCAATGAAATTAGATAGAGTTCCCAACCTTAATTCTTTATCAGTATGCCATTTAGAGTGACACAGAAAAGATCATTTTGATGCATGTTAAACTTAGTGCATGATGTCAATTTTTCTTAATTTAGACTAGTCCAAAGAAAATACCTGTAAAATTCACAGTTAAAATAGACATAGCACTTAGCATTGTGGATAAGACTTAAGTATGCAATTTAATGCAGTTATTTAAATTTATGACAACCATCCCCAGATATTTATCATTTAAAAATCATATATTTCACTTGGTGAACAGAAATCAATTCAAATTAGAGTGGATCAGCCAACATAGACCAAAAATAACAAACTCAAATCTCAATTCCTCAGCAATATAAACATTTATACCTTCACATGAGCATGAGAAAGTTTTTTCACTTCAGAGTCATATCCAAGATTCAGACAAAGGCTTAACCATCTTAAGATGCTACTCTTTTGTTGTGTGGTATATGCCTCTATAATTGTCAGATCTAAGAAAAGAGAATTTGAGTTCCTTCCAATAACAATTAAACTTTTTTGCCCCAGAGATTACATACCAAAATTTTATTTCAAATTTAAAGTGTTATAAAAGGAATATGTCAATATGTCCATGTCTAACTTCAGAAGACTGGGTAAGTGCAATTCTTCCATATGTTGAGATGAAGAAAAGAACCTGAAATGTTGATGATGAGTAGCAGTGTTACAGAGATGGGAATTTAAGCATAGAGCATTAAGCAACATTGTCCAAACTAGGGCATAATAATATACCTGACTTTTCATCTTTTTCTGAAAAGCCTTTACAAATGCCTTCTTAAAGGCATCACCATACTCGGGCATACAAAACAAATTTGAGAATGCAATTAAATACAAAGAAGGAAGAATCATGTAATTTCAGAGAAAAATGCCTGACAAATGAGAATTGCTACAAATAATAGGATATGAGCAGTTCTTGAAAGGAGAGTGAAGGAGAAAGATAACACAACTATCATATATAGATATCAACAAAAGTATTGTATTTTTAAAATGAACTTTCTTAAGTTGTCCATAAAAGTATCAAATGTTACATGTTGAAAAGATTGGCTCATCTGTATTTTTTCTGTCAATTCCTTTAATATAAAGATTACAAAGAAAGATGACAAATGACAGGGTTAATAGGATAGTTCCATTCTCACTTTAGGATAGAAAGTCTAAAAGGGTCTATTAATAAAATCTCTGTTATGACCTATAGATCTATTTCCTTGCTCAGTAGGGTTAGTTAAAAAATTAAAAATTATCAGAAATGTGGATAAGCTTAGAGAGAAATGGGAAGAAAACTATCAAGAAAGCCATTAAACATACTGTCACTGATCTAGCCTAGCAAAGTTGGCTTCTATTAAATGGCAGCTGTGTCTGATTAAAAAATTATGACTCCCCTCAGAAATCATAAGGGTCATTAAAAACCAAGTCATAAAATCCTCTGCTCCCTAAAGGCACACTGTCAGAGAACACTTCTGATTTTCTTACTGTAATTTAGGTTTAACTACCATCATACCCAATATGTATTTAAAAAATTTTAAAAAATTTGTCATTTTATTCTCTCCACACCTACCTCAAATTGTTAATTACATTAAATTAATATTTGAAAAATATAAATGATCTAATTATAAATCTACTCTGATACTTTGTTACTTCAGAAAATTCTTTTTTTAGGTCCAGTTATGAATTTTCAACCAATGTATTTCTAATTTGAATTTTCTTATATCTTTATCTTTGTAGGTTAAAGAGATATGATTTAAAAAAGAACACAACCAGGAGGAAAACAAGATTTTACAATTCTTAGATTTACCAAATGTTAAACATAAAAATGTGATAGATATATTCTTAATCCAAATTTATAGTGTTAATGAAAATGCGTGTGTGTGTTTTATTCGAAGGAGATTATTAATGTTGCTGTTTTTGTTTCTGTCTAACTCTTCTACCAAAGGTTGTATTTATCTAATTCTAGTTGTAGTAAAGACTGACAATTGGGTACAATTTTCCAGGTAATTTACTGAAATGCAACAATGTAATTAGTGTAATAGTTCAGAAAGTCCATCATTTCACTGTCAGTGCAGAGTTTCTAAATTGCATTATCATTGTTAAAATTCAAATTTACAGGTTTTTACTTCAATCTGAACTTCTCGGAAGAATAGAAACACTAGTAGAACCATGCTTCAGTGTCCCAATAATTTTTTTTGAGCTCATCTTTGCTCTTTACGACAGCAACTAAAGTACGTCTTTTTATGGGAATTTGTTCTACTGACATCAAGTGCTTAGGAATGCTTTCCTAACTATTTTGTCTGTGAATTATCACATCTAGTGTGTCTTGAATTTTAAAATAAAATGTTATATATAAGATATGTATAAACTTAATGTAAAATGTATAAATACTATAATTATAAATATTCACATATGAATAATATATGTATATAATTCTAAATGTATTCATAAAGTATGTATTTGAATATGAAAATACTCTCTACAATCCTTGGATGTTATAGATTTTCTAAGCTTATTATTTTCTATGCCACATAGTATCTGTTTGTTCTCTAGTTCAATTTATAGGAACTATAAACTGTGTTTATATTAAACATTTGCTGAGTTTATTAACTATCTATATTTATATCATTTATATCTGTCTATATCTAATTGTACTTCTCAATTCTATCCTGAGAGCAAAATTTCTACTTAAATTTTTAATGCAAATCCTGTCTATGTTAATATTTATTACTGGAACTTATCTAGCTTTCTACTGATACAGCTTTCTTAAATTACAGATATGTGGCTTGCACTGAGCATTTCAGAAATTGTGGAATCTTTCCTTCTTAGGAAGATAAGCAAATGTTTGCTGATTTTTTTTCTCAGAATAATTATTATGACTTAGTAGAGGGAGTGTTGCAGATATTTATAAAAGCTGATTCTATCTTATTCTTACTTTAATCAGTCATGTTTACTGAGGTGAGTCTCTTAAATAACTTGACCTTTATATAATCAGAAAAATAAACTAAGTGAAATCAATATGACTTTCATTCCTGAAATTTTTCAGTGCTATAGCTGCAGTTCAGAAAAGCTTGAAGAGAATTTTCTTTCAAATTATGTATCATGAAAAATTGTTTTAATATTAATCTTTAATTATCATTTAGTAATCATTTACTATGTACCAAAGATCTAAACAGACTTAGTCATAATGAGAAAATTCACAATGTGAAATAGGAAGAAAAGGGCTAAAGGTGTAGGGAAAGTGGGAAGGGTAGGGGAAAGATAAGGGAAAGAAAAAAATAGGGGAAAATGAAAAAATGGAAATAAAATGTTTGTAAATGGGGAGGAGAGGAGGGGTTGAATGCAACTGTACTGTACACCTAAAATGTATCAATAAACTCAAAGGAAAAAATAAATAAACAGACCTAGTCAAAGACAAGGTACAAACAGCAAGTAAATATATAAAAAGACATTCAGTATGCCACTAAAGACTTATTAAAATGGCCCAAATCCAAAACTTTGATAGTATCAAATAGTGGACAGTATATGTAAGAAGAATTCTCTCATTGTTGCTATGGGATGACAAAATAGTATAGCAATTGTGACCATAATCTTGATATGTCAATTTCATTGGAACATTGAAACATTGAATTTATTGGACTAGTAAAGTGCCTTCCTGGGTATGTCAGGTTGGCCAGAGGTATGGCCTGAGGACTGTATATGATCACCTGTCTTGCCACCCCCACAGCCGTGATGTTTCTGGATCAGAGTCAGCCAATGACCAACTGAATCCCAAATCTGTGAGCCAAATTTAACCTCTCATCTTTAAGTTGTGTTTGTTACTATGTCCAGCCACAGGAAACCTTACTAATATAGAAAATTGTTACCAGAGAAACAAGACCATTGTAGTGACTGTACCTCACCATGTGTTTAGAAGGTGTTGAACTGATTTAATGGGAGAGTTTAAAAATGTACACTAATGAAGCCTTTGAATATTATAAGCAGAGCCTCATGGATGAATTTGGTTGGTGCTTAGAAGACCAGAATGCTGTTAGCAACGATGACAGTAAAGGTCAAGCTCAGGAAGTTTCAGATGGAAATGAGGATTCCATTGCTAGTTGTACTGGAGTCCATGTGTTTCACACTCTGAACAAAATTTTACTACATTTTGTCCATATTCTAGTCTGAGATTAATGGCAGGGGACTGATGACTGTGAGAAGAACTTTCAAGACAGCCCACCATTCAGGCTGTGACATGGATTCTACAGACTGCTTTTGTGGGCAAATGTTGACAAGACAATTTGAAAACCTTAAATTTAATCTAAAAGAAATCCTATGTTAAGATGGGGCCCAAAATGATGTGGTTACTAAAGCTCTTGGTACCATTGAAAAAGAAAGAAGCATAGTGGTACCTCTGTCCACAAACTTAATTCATTCCATGATTCTGGAAAAGATGACCAGAGTCATGTTCATCAGCTGGTGCAGAGTTCATGAACAAAATTTGAAAACCTTAAATTTAATCTAAAAGAAATCCTATGTTAAGATGGGGCCCAAAATGATGTGGTTACTAAAGCTCTTGGTACCATTGAAAAAGAAAGAAGCATAGTGGTACCTCTGTCCACAAACTTAATTCATTCCATGATTCTGGAAAAGATGACCAGAGTCATGTTCATCAGCTGGTGCAGAGTTCATGAACAAAAACAAAATTTCACTGAACTCTTTTGTTTGCAACTGAAATTGTTCACAAATAAAAGTGTTCATGAAATGATGTACCACTTTACTTCTTATGGAAACATTAAGAAAAATGAATTGAGGACATCTTATAAATCAGCAAGATCCCAACCACTGTAGACCCAAATGTGCAAATGTTAAATTTTTCATTTAAGGAGAAATACCCAGAGACCTCTACTCAAGAAGAGCCTCCTAAGCAACACCTCAGATGGGATTAATATCCAGAATATTAAACAACTAAAAACATAGACCCCTCCCAATAAAAGACCCAATGAAAAAAAAGAGACAATTGAGATAAATGGACATTTCTAAAAGAAGAATTACAGATGATCAATAGGTATATGAAATAATGCTTAGCATGTTTGACTATTACAGAAACGCAAAACAAAATAACACTGTGATTTCCTCTTACTCCAGTAAGAATGGCTATCATCAAGGACTCAAAACACAACAAATGTAGGTAAAGATATGTGGAAAAAATAAATGTCTACTTTGTCGGTGGGAATATAAACTAGTACAACCATTATGGATGTCAGTGTAAAGATTGCTCAAAAAACTAAAAATAGAAATCCACTTGACATGGTTCTTCCTCTTCTGGGTATCTTCTCAAAACAGTTAAAGTCATAATATTACAGTGATGCATGAATCATGTTTATAGAAGCACAATTCATAGTAACTAGATTATGGAAGTAGCCTGTATGCCTATAAACAGATTAATAGACAAAGAAATGTGGACTCAGTACTATTCAGTCATTTGGAGGTATAAATTGGAGTCATACCTATGAAAATGGCTGAATCATAAGATCATAATACTAAGTGAAACAAACTGAACACAGAAATCTAAATATCACTTGGCTGCCCTAACATGGAAAATAAATATAAATGATAAATTATTACTAATGAATGTACATAACATTTTAAACGAGATAAAATAGAAATAATGTGAAGAGAAAAATAAAAGAGATGTGATACGAAAGAAGGTAGACTCTTGTGGAAATGGGAAGAGGCTCTGAGATAGGGAAGTTAAAATAGTCAGTGTAATATGTATATGTATCAATTCTCCAGACAAATGTCTTTTCATATAGTACAAACACAAAGCAACAAAAGGAAATTTAAACCTAAACTTCTTAAAGTGAATAAAAGTTAGTAAGAATTTTTGCTATAATTTTCCACTTCTAGAAAGCACTTTGAATTTTGCATTGATACTATATTAATTTTGTAATAATATGGATCTAATAGCCTTTGTATATCTCTGTTTTCAAAACCAGCAGTAAATTGCAAAAATGATCTTAAAGGAGTAAGGAATGTTGCTATATCAAATTATTATCCAAGAAACTGTTAATACTGCTAGTGTATAGAAGAAATTGTTTGGAAACACTCTGATTTTAAAAATAGATCACTTTACACTTTAGTATTAATGTGTTACTGATATTTGATCACATTAGAAAGGTAAATAGAAATATACCTTTTTGCTTATTGCTTGAAGCATTACAGTAATAAAGTTTTTAAATTTTAATTTTTCAGTTAATACAAGAGGTCATACTTAAATCATGTTATGAATGAATGAGCAAATAAGGAAATTGGGGAGGATGACAAGTGAAACAATTTAGTCTAATGACATTTTTCTTTTTATATATTAAAATATAAGGGAAAAATCAATAAATATTGACTTAATTTCAAGTTTTCGAACCACTATAGCCAGAGACTGCCGAAAGTTTATTTTCTACCTTCCCTTCATGTGCTACCAACTCTGTCACTGATAAATTCTGTCTTCTGGTCCTATCTTCCTGTTGCCTCTAAGTATGTTTTATTAGAATTTAGTCTTTGTGTGAGCTCATAGAATCAATCTTGAGTGCTGAGTCTACATTTCAAAGCGCAGATCATATGTTCTCTCTAAGTATGTTCTGTGTAGTGTTGCCAGGTGCTACTACAGAACCTTTCCTTTCTTACCTGCACGTTCCTTACCTGACATGTGCTGTACTTTAAGCTCTACGAAATATTCATTGGATCAGAGCTATATTCAGCTGCTTTTGACAATAAGAATTGTATTTAAATTGCTCTTTGGCAGAGAATGTCTTCATTTGTTCAACAATGTTTGTTTATTTTGCTTTATATCGTAGAAAAGAAAACAGATGTTCTCTGCAGTAAAAGGGATAAAACTCTAGTAATGAGTAAAGAAATAAACATATGATGAGATCTGCTATAAAATGCTATAAAAGGTACAATGATAAAGAATAAAGTGTGATATATCTTTAAATAAAATAGAGAAAACTTCTATGACAAAGAATTGTTAGCTGAGTCCTGAAGGGAAAAAAGTGAGTGAAAAGATGTAGACAGAATGGCGTCCCAAAAAGAAGAAATTGCTTATAGAAGACCCTAAAGTTGGAAAACCATTGGCATGTATTAAGGCATTAGAGGAACAGAATGAATCTGAATTTCTGATAAATTGTAGACAAGAGTATAAATAGACACAATAAAGTAGGAGGCCTACGAATAGACAAATCCATATTAAGAATTTGATCCAGAGTGTTCAGAGAAGGCATTGAGAGAATGTTTTTAACAGTTTTTAGTTTTTGGAAAGACTATCTTTTTTTCTGCTGTGTAGAGAATAAATTGGAGGGAAGCAGGGAGCTTCGTACTGAAGTTAGAACAATTCTCTAGGTGAGCAATATTGATAAATTTAATGGGAACACATAAGAGGAAGAGCATAGCAGATTCAGGAAATTTAAAACAGAATGATAAGGTGTTCTGGTAGATTGGATGCAAGGACGATGAAAAGAGGAAAAATGATGGAGAACAATAACAAATATAGATGGCAATGGCATTTATTGAGATGGAGGAAAGATAGAAAAACTTATGTTTACTGGATAAGAATTTCTTAAAATATATTTTGTGATGAGACTGGCACCTTTAAGTAGAAATATCGAAAATGAAGAAAGTTATTACAGATGATATTTAAACTTTGGGACCTGCTATGGGCATCTGAGGAGACTCCTGAAAAGAAATAGGATATATAACAACCCAGCCTGATAAAAATTTGAATTAGCAAACTGCAGAAGGAGCTTATACGAATAAAAACAAAGGCCAAAATGTGAAATGGAAAACAAGAAGACATGATGAGTTGATTTAATTGCCCACAGCTAAGATTTGGACTAATAGGGAGTCAGGATAGTATCTATAGAAACTGACAGAAATCACAGGGATGGGATAGATGAAATTTTATAGAAATACCACAAGGTAATTTGTCGTTGAAAATCAATTCAGTGAATAGAAGCAACCAATATACCTTTCTGAAAGTCTTGGGTAAATAAATTGTAAGGTATCTGGAAAATGGACTATTATTAAACAATAACGTAATCAACCGCCAAGCCATGGAAGAAACCTAATTGAACAATATTTTATGAAAGAAACAATCTTACCAGGTCATATATGACATGTTCCCAAATATATGACTTTCTGGAAAAGCAAGAGTATGAGGAAATTGACAAAATATCAATGGTTTCCAAGGGTTAGGGACAAAAGAAGCATGAATGCACACAGGCTTTTTTAGGGCATTGAAACTATTTTAATCATACTACAATGAAGGACATTTGTCGTTATGCATTTGTCCAAACTTTCAACAAATGTACAACAACAAAAGTAAACCTAACGCAAACTTTTACCTGAGTAATAGCGATACGTCAATGTAGGCTCATTAACTAATACATACATCACGATTGTGAGCCATGTAGATAATGGGAAAACTATGCATTTGCTGGTGAAGGAACATATGGGAACTTGCTGTACCTTCTCTTCAATTTTGATGTGAACCTAAAATTGTTTTAGCTGAGGATTTAGCTCAGTGTTGCTGCGGCCTGACTCGCAAATGCAAGGACCTGACTTCGAACCCCGGTACCTAAATAAATAAATAAATAAATAAAGGCATTAAAATTAATATGTAGTTAGCAAACTTCTTGTTAGCTTTAATTTTTATAAAGAAAGGATATGCAATTTAAGGGGGGTTAGTATGGAATATAGATGAACACATTGATTAAATGTTAAGAAAAATCGAGTACAGTTGAAAAGAATGATATAGAAAATGAAAGAACTTCACATACTTTTAAAATTGTAAAGAAAAAGATTACAAGAATATTTTCAAGAAGTGTTCTTAACAATAGCAAAATTATTTCTCAATCGGTAATTTTATTTATTTATTTTAATCTGGAAACAATAGAAAACAGTAATGCTTTATTTTGGTATTATAGCCACATCCTATGCTGAGCTCACTTATTGGCTCTTGAGCGATCTTTACCTTTCTTTTAAAAGTTATTTTGGAGTGATTCTTCTCTTTAAAATTTTTCCTAGATCTTTTCTCACAGACCAGTGCATAAGTTTATGAATCTATGAATTGCAACATGCGGTTTCTTATTTAACAACCAAATCATGCGCAAAGTTATGATTATTTTTATGTAATAAGGGAATTAATTCTTGTAAAGATGTTCATTTTTTTCAGTTATATAGACCATGAATTTGTACGTTATGATGCCTGATAGACCTACAATACACTTCTATGTTGAATTCTTCACTTTAAGAGTCATACCTAGGAAACACTTTTATATAATGTGGGATGGAAAATAACTCCAGTAGATCCGAAACTGATTGTGTCCTGTAGTAAGTAGGGTTGGCAATTTCTGCCTCCAAATATCACATGAAGATTCTAGATTGACCGTCAGAACTTTGACATTGTATTCACTTCTGCTGGATCTTTATTGGTACATATATACAAAAAGTTTAAAAAGCGTGTGGAAACAAGCCAGCAAAATATTCTGCTGCACAATTATTCAGATAATCTTTATTATGTGATTAGGAAGTATATGCGATTGTCTATAACATTTCTATCTAAAAAGATTTATACAGTCAAATAACATCACTTTTGTTTACACAACAAACCCCATCCTGTCCAACATAGATCCACATCTGGCTCATTTCAAAACTAGTGAGCTATGCTACAGCAGCAGGAGCAGAGAAGAGAGGAGTAAACATAGTTAGAATTGGAAATTCTCGAGGATAAAGTGATAATAATTTCTTCTGATGAATTTTGAATTTCCCTTTTTGAAGCATGAGGTAGAAATTGATTTGTCACTCTCAGGGTCCTTATATAGGCCACTAGAAGAATTTAGTCAGAAAATGTTCAAAGTAAAAATTTATCCAATTGAATGATTAAATTTCTGAGGAAGATGACATTTTTTGGAGGAAATCAAAAGGTTAAAGAATAAGGAATTTCTGGGCCAGGGATTTAGTTTGTGGTGCTGCTGCCTGCCTAGCAAGTGCAAGGTCCCAAGTTCGTTCCCAAGTATCCCTCCAAAAAAGTAATGGGTTTCAACTCATAAAGAATAAAGCAAAGAACTATAATATATAATTTTATTTAATTACATACATATTGAAATGTGTAGGTAGAAGTGTAATATTTGAATTAAATGTTTGAAGCAAATTGGAGTAAATAATTATATATATATAATATATATATAATATAT